GTATTTGCACTTAGTGTAAATAGCATATTGCTAAAAATACTGCTATTTTCACTTAGTGTAAATAGAATCCATTGCTAATACGAGATTTGAAAAGGGAGAAAAAAAAAGTTCGGCAGAAGGCGGGATCGAACCCGGGTCTATCGCGTCAAAAAGCCAAGGTCAAGTGCTTATCTATCTGCACCACTGGAGCTGATGATTTACAATAACTTTTAACTAAATCTAAATAGACACCCCGTATTTTTTATTCCATAGTAAGAGCAATTCATACAATACATTTAAACGGAGCTACTTTAATACCATCTCCGAACTTTCTACCATGACTCTGCTGTTCTTCGGCTGGTTCTTCCTGTATACGTTGATTGACAGATGTCTCGTCCAGTCAGTGGTGAGTAATCCCAAACCAATGGCGCTGTCTCAAACTATACCTACCTTTTCCGGTTTGTCTGATTTGTCCTTGTGTCTTCTGAGTTGTTCATTTGTTTTCGAATTTGTCGGTGTGCTTTCTGACTTGTTATAATGCTTTCTGAATTGTTGTTGTGCTTTCTGAATTGTTATTTAGTTTTTTAGACTTGCATTTGCGTTTGTAATTTGTTATTTTGTTTTCAGAATTGTGATCTGCTTTGCACTTCTCGGCCACCGTACATTTCTGTTATTTACTCAACTTAATGTAGTCCGTATGCTGTCACACAAATCTAAGGAGGAGAGTTTCTGAAGAATATTCACACATATATTTTCCTTACGATAACGATAGTTGAAGACATAGCCTATTCGACGACTATTTTGTCACTAATCAACTCTCAAAAAGTTGCCTTTAGTGTGTTGCACTTGTCCAGTCGTGTTGTTGTTTTGTTTTTTCTTCCTTCAGATTTAGAGCAAAATGGTGCCAAAATACACGACAAACTCCGTTTGGAGGAAAATAATTCCCTTTAGGTCTAAATAAGTGTGTTATTCACAAGTATCTAATTTTTTTATTGTTTTTGAATCTCAATTCAATTGCTTATGTCCGAGTCAAGTCTCGCGTTTTCATCTCCGATTAACCACAGCACGCCACATTAACCACACACTAACTAAGTTCACCTATTTGAACAATTAATTGAACTCAACAACAGACCAGTATCATGCTAGGATGTACTTTTCTTTTTCTGAAATTGGTGAACACAACAAACTCTGGCAACAACATGTGGTGACAATTTTAAAACATTTTAAAGTTTACAAATTCAAATAGCCTACAAAAAGTTAAATTATACCTTCACATTTTTTTTTGCATAATTTGACAAAATTACTGATGAAAATGGCACACAAAACTCATATTTCATAGGGTTTCTTTGGTAAACAAGCATTCTAAAATAAAATAAAATATAATATAAAAATAAGTAGCCTATATAAATAAATATGCAAAGGTTTTTCTATGTTATTGCAAGTTATTTAGAGAATTATAGATTTAAACATTAAAAATTACTGTTTTTATAATGGATTTTCAGAATCTGGCACAAGAGTAAAAATGGCTTTTTGATAAAGGCATGATAAAAGGTTGCCAAGGCAATGAGTCCTAACATGAAAAATTGTTTTAATAAAACTTAAAGATGTCATATGATGCTTTTTTTTTAAAGATCATTATTTTGTGTATTTGGTGTAACAGAATATGTTGACATGCTTTAATGTTAAAAAAACATTATTTTTCAAATACTGTACATTATTGTAGGTCCTCTATGCCCCGCCTCTCTCAAACGCTTCGTTTTCTACAAAGTCCCTCCTTCCGACAAGCGCAGTCTGCTCTGATTGGCCAGCTGACCCAGTGCATTGTGATTGGCCGAACACCGCAAGCACTTGTCGGAAATGTAACGCCCCTTACCATAATCGCGAGCTTCATCTTTCAAAATAAATGTAAAGACAGAGCCCGAAAGGGAAACAGAGTCTCGTGACAGACACAGTGATGAAGCTGGTATGTGTTTGCAGTACACAAGCCACGGTTAAGACAGCTGACTCCACTGTGATGTGACCCCCCCCTCTCTCTCTCTCTCTCTCTCTCACACACACACACACACACACACGATGCGCAAAACTCAGCATTTGAACAGTCAATAGCAAATACTTAAACTAATAACAAAACAGTAGCTTTTTGTCATAGCAAAGTCAGAATGACCTCCTCTCCTAGGTTCATGAAACAGTCGTCCATAAAATGCATTGCTGTTCTGTTGTAAGTGATCTTAAAGATTCCTAAATGCATCTACTTTCGGAAGACCAAATAAAGTGCTTTTGCTTTCTTCTAGAAACACACAGCGTCTCCCTGACATGCTGCTTCAACACTAACTGCGGTTACTGAAACCATGCCTTCTTTCTTTGCGTGCACATTTGGGCGGCATTATGCTAATATTTCCACATAGTGAGGTAGATATGTGGGGGCGTGTTAGAACGAGCCATTTTAGGGGGGCATGGCAGAGTCTTAACTTTGATAAAGAATATCTCTTTGGTTTTGAGACTTTAGTCTTTGCAACTTCAGGGATCTTATCTATGCACAATCAGCTTGTAACACTCCAAAGAGAAAGCAAAACTTGAAATCGCATCATATGACCCCTTTAACCTCTGGGACACAGGCTAATAGTGACTAATATCAATAAACATCTCCATAACTCATAGATGCGCAGCTTTTCCAAAGGTTTAGTTTTTTTGTACAAAACTGAAATTTTGGCCATTTAGGCCAAAATCAAACTTTGCACATCACATTCAGCTAAAGATTATTAAATTTGTGTCTGTTCCTTACATAAACCTACTGTATGGGTTCAAATGACATATACATTTATGCTTTTATACTTTTACAGTCTTCAAATTAAAATTGGCGAGTATATAAAAAAACAACGTAGATCTAGAAGGTACATCACCTAATTAAAAAAATTTTAGGCTTGTTTTTATGTCATTTCTTTAATACACCAATTGCATCAACAATTTATCACTAGAAAACGGCATATGAAAAGATTCCAGTGAAAATGACAAAGTTAATGTCAGTCAGAAAATGCTGACATTCTGTGTGGCGTTAATAAACTGCAGCCTGCTGTTCGGTGAAGTGGTGCTGGGAACGGAGGTGTTGGAGACGGTGCAGTAGAACAACTCTGCTCCGTGTGAACAGTCCTGAGGGAAGAGCACCATCATGATCAAACCGATAATCATCACGAAAACACCTGCCGCCAGGATGATGCTGGGGATGAGGTTTTCACCACGAAACCAGCGGCCGTCCGAGAGCTTCAGGAAACAGGCGGCGGGGAAGATGAACATGAGGGGTATGGCGCTCAAAACCCCCTGAGAGAGACACAGAAACACAACATTTACACACATCTCTGAATGACTAACTGCTGCTTCATTGATGTTGATGAATCAACAGGAAAACTCACATTCAGTTCCAGTACAATACCCAGACAGTCATAAGAGAGCGATATGACCGTCGCCGCTGATACGATCACAAAGGTAATGATGACATGCATGGTGTTACTGAGCTCTCCTTTAAAAAACACATTAGAGATCACCTGGAAAAAAATATTGACAACATCAAGAAACAACCAACTTTAAAGAAAGCTAATTAAATACTAGAACAAGCATTTTTAGTACGTCTTTACACTTTAAAATGTAAAAAACAGTGCATACGGTTGACAGGGTGACTGTAAATGCATACAGGAAGCTCTGAAAAATTTTGATCAAGAGTCTACAGATTTTGACTATTTGTTGCACCAAGTTAAAGGAGGATATTAAATGCCTTTCAGTTTTTCTTTTTAATAAATAATAAAAAGTGTTAAAACCAGAGTACTACTTCACATTATTATGTGTTATTTTAGTATCACTGAGATACTATTATTTTTTTTATTTATATTTTGAATTTGCCTTTTTTTATATTTTCCAGGTTAATTTTAATTTTGGTTAGTTTTAGTCATTTTGTTGTGTGTTTTTGTCATTTTTATACTTTTATGTTTATTTATGTTTACATAGTTTCTATTATTTTGGTTAAAATTTTTACTGAATGAAAAGGAGAAATGTTGCCTTAGCAACTAGCTGAAGTACAAATAGTTTACATTTGTTTATATACTGTACACTGTAAAAAAAAAATCCCTAAAATTTACGGTAAAAAACCGGCAGCTGTGAAAAATGTGTAAAATATACGGTAGCAACGTTTTAGGTTTTACAGTTTTAACTTAAATTTACAGTTAAATACCGTAATTACATTAACTGATATAATGTTAATATGCCAACCTATTGAAGTACCGAAATCTGTTTTGTACCTTTGTAATACACTGATAACCACCAAATGCAGGTGATGAGAAAGTCACATGATGATCCAAAGCCCATCACAAGCAGCTCATAAATAATAACATATATAGAAGGTGCACAGTGTCATTCACACAGACACTAAACACCATCATGGTAACACACATGAAACTGAAATAATGCAATAAACATTCATTTAACAACATTAGATGTAACACTCAACCCTAATATACAAAACTGATAAGAAAAAACTAAGAAGAAACATAGTTATTTCAACAAAAAAACATCAAATTTGAAATGTAACGCAGGGAATTCTGGGAATGTCAATTTACGGTTATTCACTGTAAATTATACGGTCTTTTTCACTTCCAAAAATGGTATACTACCGTAAAATTAATGTCCAATACATGTAATGTCCAATACAGTTTTTCACCGTATATAGTAGGGGAATTTACCGTTAACCATTTAACAGGTTTTTACTGTAGCATTTTTACAGTCTTTTACCGTTAAATTCAATTTTTTACAGTATACATTTTATTTCAGTTAACGTTTATTTTACTTTACGATTTTTTTAATGGTTTTGTGTTAGTTTCAATTAACTATAATAACTCATAAGCATTCAATTAATTTAGAATTTAAGTTTACAAATTTTATTTTTATATATCAAACAAATATATATATAAATATAATCAGTGTCCCCAATACTGCTGCAATTCCCGTCACAACAAGTATTGTCAAGATCAGTATATTTATGATGGAAAATCCACTTAAAGGTTGATCAAGGCCATGATCAGATTTTCATTTCAGGACATTTTTCAAGCTTTCAAGAAGTCAAAAGTGCCCCAGTTGAAGAATCACCCATTCTGTATGTACAGTAAAAGCTTCAGTTATCTTACCTCACGGGTTACAAAGCACTCCAGAGGGAACGTGGTGATTATACTGACCCCATAGCAGAATCGACCGAATGTAGCCAAGTTATCATTCCTGCAGTAGTTCTCGAATATATCACCTTGGACAAGTAACACAACAGGAAAACATGCAATTCTTTGCGTGCTTTTTGTACCATATGACACAGATTTATCAAAGTAATAAGTGCAGATATTGTGACATTATTTACAGTAATTTACCTTCTTAAAGGTTGATCAAGGCCATGATCAGATTTTCATTTCAGGACATTTTTCAAGCTTTCAAGAAGTCAAAAGTGCCCCAGTTGAAGAATCACCCATTCTGTATGTACAGTAAAAGCTTCAGTTATCTTACCTCACGGGTTACAAAGCACTCCAGAGGGAACGTGGTGATTATACTGACCCCATAGCAGAATCGACCGAATGTAGCCAAGTTATCATTCCTGCAGTAGTTCTCGAATATATCACCTTGGACAAGTAACACAACCGGAAAACATGCAATTCTTTGCGTGCTTTTTGTACCATATGACACAGATTTATCAAAGTAATAAGTGCAGATATTGTGACATTTACAGTAATTTACCTTGTGTATAACCAGTAAAAGTCACATAACCTGCAGCAGCAAAGACAACACTGACCAGTACAGCTGAACCCACAGATACATGAGTGACAAGAGACCAGCTGCTCAGTGTGGGCTCCCGCAGCGACCCGTAGATCATAAAGCTGTTGTGGTGGCAGATAAAAGCTGAAAAATATGAAACACGCCAAAGTTTGGATTGAAAAAGGTACTTTAATTGAAATATGTTTACTGAAAGTAAAACCTCACCGAAACACATGACGGCAACTGCCTGAATTGCATTCCACCGTGCAAACACCCATGCATCATCTGACGCAGGTCTGTGGGTGAAATAAATATGTAGTTATTCATTTTAGAAATAGCTATTTTTGATGTTTGTGCATGACTATGCAAACACCACTGCCAGGGTGTTTTGAGTGTTTTTACAGGGTTTCTGTACGTTTTATGAAGGTAAATTTTAAGACTTTTTAAGACCTCTTTAAGACCAATTTAAGAAAATGTAAGGGATTAATTAAAGGAAACACAGGACTTCAATATGTTCTCTAAATGTAAATGTATAAGGAGAATACAATGAATGGAAAACAAGTTTTCATACCCCATTGATAGATATTTGTTCTTGTTTTAAAAGCATAAACTCACTAAATTAATTTTTTTTAAATTGCATTTCAAGTAATTGTATTTTGATGTAAGGATATTTATATATTTGTATTGGAATACAAGTTTAAAATACTGACAGAAATGTTTTATTTTAAAGTGCATGCAACATTTAATGCCATGACTTTATGAATTTAAGACTTTCTGCTCCGTTTTAAAGTGTCCCTATTATGGGTAATGAAAGGTTCATATTTTGGATTTGGGAGTCCCCAACAACAGGTTGACATACATGTAAGGTCAAAAAATACTTTCATTGTCTTACAATATGCCTTTATTTTTACCTTACTTGCTAAATGACTCCCAAACGATTCGCTCAATGATTCATTTTTCCAAACCCTCCTTTGCGTGACGCTAATCTGCGGTGATTGGTCTGATTGGTCGATTTCATTTCCATTTCATAATAAAAGCTGCGTTTGTGAGCGCAGTGCTGCTTTGTGTACAGCGTTACCGGGGAAATAGCTGTTTTTACCGCTCCAAAAGCGTCACCTAGTGGCAAAGAATTAATTTGCATTTTCATTCAGACCAAGGCGAAAAGACCAACAAGTGGGCAGGCAATATGCTAATGACCTCAACATGAAACGGCTTGGGATTTTGCTTTAAAAATGACTCGTTTCAATGATTCAGAGTCGACTCTTCTTTTGAGAGACAATAACTTTATAATAGATTTAAAACTTTGCAGGGTGTTTTCATTCACTTAGAGCTCTGTTACACACTGCATGAAAGGTCATTTTCCAAAATCCAAATTAGGGGCACTTTAAGACATATTAAGGCCTTAATTTGTGGAAAGCAATTTTTTTAATGTTTTTAAGACATGCAGAAACTCTGTTTTTAGCATGTCTTAGAGTCAAGACAGCCACATTTCCAAGTCTCTATGATATTTAGGTCTCTAGAAACTGTATTGTACTAATTTTTTGCCTGTTTTTTTATCAGCTCTGTGAAAAATCCAACATTTCTGAGGTCTCTCTGAGGTCTGAAAACCAACACCTCCTTTGTGTAACTAGGACAAAATACAAACACAGGGGAGATAGAGCCTTTTCACGAGCTGGTACAAAACTGTGGAATGACCTCCCTCATAGTATTAGATCCGTTAACTCACTACCGGTTTTCAAAGCTGTGTTAAAAGCACATCTTTTAAAGACCAATGAGGAGTTGTTGTGATGCAGGGTTAGTTATTTTAAATTGTATCCATGTTGTTATGTGATTTGTGTTATTATTTGAGACTATGCTTGTTGTTATGTAATTTTATTGTGATATTGTGAAGCACTTTGGGCAACCTGGTGTTGCATTAAACTGTGCTATATAAATAAATAAACAAAACAAAACAAACATTCAACCTGGGTTTCACAAGGGTTAGGGGTTTGCTTCATCATACATCACAAAATATGTGTGTATTGTTTCACTGCATTGTGACACTATGTACATGCCTTGTTATACTAAGGCCAAAAATATGATGGAAAGTCAAATAAAAAAATTAAGCTCAGTGAGATCATTTCTAAGAAATTAGTGTTTAAAGGGTAAATCATTATCCTGAGCTGCGGTCGGCAAACATCAGCATATGGTGGATGGTGTGAATGAATGCACACAGATGGAGAGAGAGATTTTATACATCTGTGGTCCTAGTGTCGCTGCTCTCACAACCACTGTGATGAGGATGGCAAGAGTCAAAAGCATGGACAATAAAGATACCTGGAACAGAGGAAGGGAGAGGGTTCATTACTGTCAGTTTTAACCTAGAAAGCTTGCTGTTTCATCCTTGATTGTTACATTTCTAAGGCCTCTAAATGACCAACATGATAAAAACTTTGCTGGAATACATGCACACAATCTACTACATGCCTTCTGTTGTCTGATTGATAGTTTAGACATTTTTTCCAAGTAAAAGTCATTTTAGTACAGTTGTACAAATGTCCACCTTCAGCTCGTGCTTCACATACCTTGAGTTCAATCTTTCCTGAAATTTGTACAGATTTTTATGAAGTAACCATAAGATGAATAACTTTTATATAGTAATATTTCAAGATGAACACCTACTAGACTAAAGGAACGTAAGTTTACTTTATTATTCATGTCATCCAGACCCATGTGATGTTATTTTTCTGTGAAGCACAACAATGACTTGGCTTCAAATAACTTGGAATGTAGCACACAGGTCATATGGACTATTTTTTATGAAGCATTTATTATCCTTTGTCTTCTCTTTTAAAAGCCCAACATAATCAGACAAGGTGACTGTTGTATGACAAACTTGTCTACAGAAAAAACAGACATGAGAGTAAGTAAATAACAGCTAAATGACAGGTGAAATTATTGGGTGAAATATTCATTTAAAGCCACAGATCACAAATGATTATACGTTAACATGGCCTACTTAATATTCATAAGCTCAGTCTCAGGCATAGTAGGATTGGTGATCTAGCGCTCATCTCCGTGGTCTCAAGCACTTCGCTTTTTGATCAGTCTTCTGCGATTCTTTTTTTCTCTCGCCGAAAATCCCTCGGAGTTTACTTAGGATTAATTTCCCCCTCGTGTTGGCAGAAATGTTTGCTGGAAGATGGTGAGTGGATCATAAAGTGCTGATGAAAGCTATTAAAAATTATGGTCAATAAAAAAAATGCTCTAGGTTATAATGGAAAGCAAATAACAATACAATGTCTGATGCATAAAAGAGTTAAAAACCAGGATTTTAAAATGAAATCCGAGCTAGTCTGAGCTTGATTGTGATTATACAGTAGCAGAAGTCAATAGCATGCTTCGTTTTTAGATGTTCTCATTCAGTTGACAGAATGCAATGCAACATGCACATTCTCAAATCCTATGCATTATTTATCGGCTTTAAGATATCGGCCAAATTTTCTTATCAGGCCGATACCGATAACAGAAAAAATGAGCCGATATGGGCCGATACCGATATGGTGGCCGATATATCGTGCATCCCTAATTTACGTATTTCACATCCATGCATGCTTTGTTTAGTGATGCTGTAGTGCATTGGTTTATGAGTCAATGAGATAAAACAGTCATACAAATTCATAGTCCTAAACAAACTTATGCCCCAGTCAAATTTTCTTATAGGGGTCATATGATGCGATTTCAAGTTTTTCTTTCTCTTTGGAGTGTTACAAGCTCTTGGTGCATAAAGAAGATCTGTAAAGTTGCAAAGACTAAAGGCTCAAATCCAAAGAGATATTCTTTATAAAAGTTAAAGGGGTGGTTGACTGTTTTTTTTCTAGGCTTGATTGTGTTTAAGGGGTGCAGTCTAACATGTGTTAATGCTTCGTTTGTTAAAAAACGCATTATTTTTCACATAATTTACCTTTTATTCCACAACGCTCTGTCCCTTCTCCTCTGAACGCACTGATCATTTCCTGCCTTTATGAAGCCCCTCCCTCAGAAATACACGATGGGCTCTGATTGGTTAGCTAGCCCAGTGTGTTGTGATTGGCTAAACCGCCTCTAGCGCGTGTCTAAACGTCCCGCACCTCAACATAGCGGCATGTGCTCGGGTTGTATTGTAAACAATGACGTCGTCTATATTGCTTATCACGATGGGCTCTGATTGATTAGCTGGCCCAGTGTGTTGTGATTGGCTAAACCGCCTCTAGCGCGAGTCTAAATATCACGCCCCTCAACATAGCGGCATGTGCTCGGGTTGTATTGTAAACAATGACGTCGTCTATATTGCTTATCAATTTGAGCCCGATTGAGACGCAGAGGATATTATTGAAGAGGATCGCGCAGAACCTGTGCAAGCTCGGCTTTTAATGGTAGGCCTAAGACTTTTTGTCTTATAAACTGTCTCATACTTTTAGATACGCTGTTATTTGTAAATGTTGCGTGTTCCCGGAGGCGGGGTTTATGTAAAATTCTGGGTTCTTGACGTAACGGACCCGGGAAGTATCTTGTTGTAGTCCCTACCAGTCGTTTTTGTAGGCATTAAACTGCCAGAACTTTAAAAGACGATATCTCTGTTTGCATTGAACTTTCAGCTTCGTAACTTTGCAGATATTGTTTATGATCAAACAGCAACATTACACACTAACTAACATTAAAAAAGTGAAATCGCAATCAACCACCCCTTTAAGAGTTAACCACGCCTACCTACTCGTTCTAACACGCCCCCACATACCTACCTCACTATGTGGGAAGATTTGCATAACGCCGCCCAAATGTTCACGCAAAGAAAGAAGGCGTAACTTTTATTCTCGCTGTAGTATTGTTGCGGCCACCATGTCGTGAAGACGCTGTGTGCTTCGTTGTGAAAGCGAAACTACTTTGTTTGGCCTTCCAAAAGAGGACGATATCCGCTTCGTCATGCCTCTAGCCCGGTCTCAGCGCACGCTAAGCTGCGGCTTCCACTCACGCTAGGCCGCCGTGCTTTTCGTTGTGAAAGCGAAACTACTTTGTTTGGTCTTCCAAAAGAGGACACGACTACAAATCAGTGGTTGAGTTGTATTTACAACACTGTTCCAGGACTGTTCAACCCAAATATTCAGATGTGTGCAGCACATTTTATGGAGGACTGTCTCCTGATCCTGGGAGAGTAGACTACAATGCCGGCTGTTCTGACTCACCGTAAGTACGTAAGTACGTTTTCATTTAAAGGATTTGCCACTGATGATTCAAATGTGAGTTTTGGGCAGTGTAGAGTAGCACTTGTTGTTTGTCATTTCTCCGATCACAAATGCAGACATGGTTTTATGTTTACGCGCTGCGATGCAAAAAGACATTATTAGTCATTATAATCAGTAATTATGTCCCCACTGGATGCAACAAATGCCTCGTTTATAATGGGTTTTCATGTTTTTGTCTCATCGCTCCGGCCGGGACACGGCATCAACAATATGTGAGGGGCGTAACATTTCCGTCACACGCTTGAGGTATTCGGCCAATCACAACGCACTGGATAGTTGGCAGATCACAGCACACCTCGCTTTTTCAGACCGATGAGTTTTGTAAAAATCGATGTGTTTCAGAAAGGCGGGGCATAGAGGAGAAACAATAATGTACAGTATGTGGAAAATAATGTGTTTTTTTTACTTTAAACCACATAAACACATTTTATTACACCAAATACACAACATAATGTTCTTTTTAGCAGCATCATATGACCCCTTTAAATGGAAAAGGCTTTTACTGTCAGTTCACTCGCCAGTTTTTGGATATGAGTTCATTGAGCTGTTGATTTGTTGATTCGAAAACTGCTCTGACTCGTGAATTGATTTAGTCCGATGTGCGAACGAATAGTTCATATTGGTTTAGTGAATCAGTTCATTAAAATATTTGACTCAAAAGAACGAATTGTTAGCGAATTGCTTGGCTTCTGTTCTCCTTTCCAGTAGCTGATTCGTGTAGACGAGATGATGCCACAGCACTGGAACAGTTTTATAGAGAACTACGTTTTATTTGACTGCAGCTGATCATACTAAACAGTGCAACCACTGGAACAGTGGTTATTTAGGAAGAAAGTAAGGTATGGTCAGTCTTCAGAAAGATTTGATCACAAATGAAGTCATTTATCACGCTCGAGTGCATTGTAAGCCACCAAAATCGCCTCATAAGTCGCTTCATACAGGTTAGATTTAATAAAAGAAGACATGTTCTTCTGTTCCGCCCACCTCAGCTGAACACAACCGTCTAGAAGGTGCCAATTTAAATTAAATCAGGTATTTCTCCACAGGCAGGCAGACAATAATATAAAGGCTTTCTTCACCAGTTACATAAGATGAGAGAGATGGTGATGCTTACATTATAATACAATATAGTGGACTTATTTTTTAATGGAATAATACGCAGAAAATGTCTCTACGACTTTACATATATGTCTGAAATAGGTAGTGCTTTCGACTTTGTGCAGAAACTCTTCGCCTGTCAATCATTGTGCTTGTCCAGGCTGGTGGGCGGGGTTTGTGGCTAGATAATTCAATGGCTAAATATTCATTGAGTGAATACTTAAGAGGACGTTATCTTTCAGGAATTGATTAGATCTTGAAAAGTGGACATTACCAGAATAGAGTCAAGTGGTTGGAGATAAGGTGTTAAAAAGTAAGAAGGATTGTTGACATTAGATAAAGAGGTTCCATATATACAACTATTTTCTATTTGAAATATATATTTAAAATGAAATTTATTCCTGTGATGAAAAGCTGAATTTTCAGCATAATTTCTCCGGTCTTCGGTGTCCTATGAGCTTTCAGAAATCATGCTAATATGCTGATTTGCTGCTCAAGAAACATTTCTTATTATTATCAACGCTTAAAACAGTTGTGCGGCTTTTGTGGAAACCGTAATAGTTTGTTGTCAGGGTTCAATGAATAGAAAGTTATTTTAATTAAAGGGGTCATATGATGCTGCTAAAAAGAACAGTATTTGAAGTAATGAAATGTGTTTATGCGGTTTAAAGTAAAAAAAACACATTATTTTCCACATACTGTACATTATTGTTTCTCCTCTCTGCCCCGCCTTTTTGAAACGTGTCGATTTTTACAAAGCTCATCGGTCTGAAAAAGCGAAGTATGCTGTGATTGGCCAGCTATCCAGTGCATTGTGATTGGCCGAATACCTCAAGCGTGAGATGGAAATGTTATGCCCCTCACCATACTGTTGTATTCCCTCAGCGACCAGCACGGATCAGCTCTAGGCATGACGAAGCGGATATCGTCCTCTTTTGGAAGACCAAACAAAGTAGTTTCGCTTTCACAACGAAGCACACAGCGTCTTCAGGATATGGCGGCGGCGGCAATACTACAGC